TTTCTTTTCTTTTCTTTTCCTTATTTTTCTTAATCGGTTTGGGGGGTCAACGTTGCAGAAGCCCTACCACTACTTCCAGGCCCTCCTTCCGGCGGGCGCCCCGCTCGAGCTCGGCCGAGGTGACCCCCCCCCCCAATCCCAATCCCACTCCCTCCTCCCATTCCCACCTCTGCACATTCGGAGCCATCCCGATGGTGATGGTGATGGTGATGGTGATGGTGATGGTGATGGTGATGGTGATGGTGATGGTGATGGTGATGGTGATGGTGATGGTGATGGTGATGGTGATGGTGATGGTGATGGTGATGGTGATGGTGATGGTGATGGTGATGGTGATGGTGATGGTGATGGTGATGGTGATGGTGGTGACTGTGTGGCAGAGATCATCGACGACATTGTGGAGATGATCACCGAGGCGTGGACGGATGCCGACGAGGCCGCCACCGACGACGACCAGGGGGCGGGCTTCTTCGTCGAGGAGACCGAGCTGGCGTCCCCCTCCTCCGGCGGCGTCACCAAGGTGCGCACCACCGCCGATCCCCCATCCATTCCACACACGACACACCACACACACAAACCACACTTCTGCCGGTGCGCGTGCAGTGGTGGATCAGCGTTGGTGGCCCATGATCATAATAATAACGGCCTGCTGGTGGCTGGTGGTGTTCGTCGCGGGTGCGTGCAGGTGCCCGTCCGCAAGGCCTACAACACACTGCGTCTGGGCCTTCGTTCCCCGAAGGACTCGTCGGCGCGGCGCGACCAGTCGGCCTCCTCTTCATCATCGCCCTCCTTATCGTCGTCCTTGGGCAGGTCTGCCTCGCCTCCCTCCCGCCGGGCGCACGACGACTAGGCCGTACGAGGAGGAGGAGGAAGAAAAAGATGTACAACAACAAACGACGCCTTTCTTGTTTCAAGCAAAGAAAAAAAGGGCCTCTGGTTGGTGCCAGAGCAACAATAGATGGAGGAGGGCACAGTGTCTCCCGCGAGAGACGACAGCAGGGCGCCAGCAGCAGCAGAAGCGGCATCTCTTGTGGTGGTGTTCGTGGGTGCGCCGTCCCCGCCGCCTCTCCGAGCACCGGCCAGGGCGGCACCACCTGTGCTGCTACGACGACGACGAGGCTGGTCGTGCGGGCCGCTGCGGAGGCGGAGGGGCACGTGGCCTGGCGGCCCGCCACCCCGCCCCTCTTCCACGCCCCCTACTTCCCGACGCCAGCACCAGGTGCAGGTGCAGGAGGTGGTACCTTCATCCCCCC